AGATAATGAAATGTTTCTAATTCTTATTGATAACCTTTTCAAAAGCATCTGCAAATGGACACCAGCATTTCAGATGTCTACCAGACACCACACTCACACTGCTTTGTCCCTGGACCATCAGCCATGTGCAGACCTAAAGACTATCCTTCACTGCTAGTAGATTTGCAAACTAGCCTACACCATCTTAATAGCAACAACAATGGTTCTGAACGCTGGCATCATTCTAAATGAGGTATTACCTTGAAAGTGACTGGGATGATGTTTGGCAAATTGTTATCTGATTTGAGCTAAGATTAGTTCTTGGTGTTACCTCATTTAAATATGAGTTATGAACAGAGTCTATGTGCTGGTTTCAGTCATTTTCAAATTGCCTTTTCAACTTCTGTAGCTCACTTATGTGACTGAAAAAAAGGTACCACATGGGAAATTTTCAGCAAAAGATGATTGACTGATTGATTAATTGATTGATAGATCTACTTATCTATATTAGATGAGCAGAGCAAAAGCTCAAAATTGGAGAAGACATGTCTGACCACATACTTTCTCTCAGGACAGATGATGCTCTCCAAAGATGCCCTCAGCTTCAGCTTTTTACCTTTTTATCCTATCCAAGGCAAAGCCAGAGGAGCAGGATTAGATAAATCTTGAAATGTCACCCCAATGTAAAAAGAAAATGTATTGCAGCCACAAAAGCCCGTTTATAGCTGAGATTTGTGCTTTGTTTGGTTGACCCACTTGACCCAGCTTGACTTTTTCAGAACAGACCAGATTGCTTCCCCAATCTTTTATAAAAATTTCATGCATACAGAAAACTTGAAATAATTGTATGGTGGAGACACATATACCCATCGCCGTCAGTGTTTGATGTTTATTTGTGTTCCATTTGCTTTCTCACGTGTCTGTGTATCTATCCATCCATCAGCCCATTTTTGTACTAGCCATCATTATTATTCACATCTAAACACTTCAGCATGTCTTTTGTTAACCAGAATTCAGTGCATCATAGTTCTTCCTTAGGGTAAAATTTATAAATACAAAAAGCTTGGTATGATTCAGTGAGTAGTGACACATACACACCTCACTGCCAAGATGCTGCCAAGATATGGAATGTTTCCATCACCCCAGAACATTCCCTCTTGTCCCTGCTCAGTACATCCTGGCACTGATACCATTTTGGAAGCAACTACTCCTCTGCTTTTTCCCACTATAGATGAGCTCTGCCTGTTGTAAAATTCTTTATCAAAGGAATCATGCAGTGGGTACTCAGTCAGTTTTTGAGATTTCTCTGTGTTGTTAAATGACTAAATTTATTTTGTTTTTATTACAGAATAGTATTCCTTTATATAAATACATCATGATTTGTTTATTCACTTTCCAGTGGATTCTCTTTTGTTTTTGCCATTATGAAAAAAGATGTTATAAGCATTCTTGTACAAAAAAATGTTTTTGACTTATGGGTCAATGCCTAAGAATAGAACTTCTGGATTCTCAGTGCATGTTTTATTGTATAAGAAAGTATTAGTCTTTTCTCCAAAGTGGTTGTTCCATTTTTCACTTGCACCATGAATATATTCTCCACATCCTCAACAGCCTTTATAATTGTAGCCAGTCCGTGGGGATGGAGGGTGGAATGGAGATGCTGATTGGTGCTGGTGGAAACCCATACTTTCACCATGGTTTCCATTAGCTCCTATTGGAGTAAAACCTACTTCATCCAGCCATTTCCCCTGAGAATTTTACCTCAGAAGCTAGCTGGGGGTGGGAGTTACATCTAGATGGTTTATTTCTTCTAAAACACTAAGAGGATAAGAACTTCATCTAGTATTGTCTAAAACCTCTATCTTGCTTAAGGAGAAAAGCTTAAAATATCAAAACAATCATCTGACTGAGTCAAGTTGGCAAGTTCAAAGTTATCTTTGTTTCATGAAATATTCTTAGGGAAAGGCCTGTTACCTCTAAATCTGACCCTTCGTCTTTTTCCGGCAAGATGCAAAACCTTAACAATAGAAAACAGAAGTTCCCAACGGTCAGCTTCAACCTGTTTTTCCTTTGTACATTTCCTTTCTAAGCATCGTTCTTTCCATGCTCAAAACCCTAGGTAGATATCCCTGCTCTATTCCTGGGCCGAAAGCCTGAACACAGTACTTTGTGACCCTTGCTCACATCAGCTTCTTAGGATGTCTCTCCCTTGCAGGCAGCCCCTGGCTGGGCTCTGACACAGAGCTCTGGCTGCACTCCCCCGCCCCCCACCTCCCTGGGGAACAGCCTGCTTGGTATTGCTTCCACCACAATTCCCCGCTCAAGGATCCATTCATCTCCTGGCTCTCCTCCTCTTTCCCTCTTCCCCTTTCTTTCAACTCTGCTCAGTTACCTCATAAAACTTTTATTCTCTTCCATATAGGAAGTAAAAATGTATCCTGATCTTGCCTGATAACTGTTGAAGCAGTGTTAGTGCGATAATGAGGCAAGACATAATGAAGAACTGATGCCACCAACAACTATGACTCTTGAAAGTACCAAGAGGTCCCTTTCAGAAGTGCCACAAAGAAACTTTCTACTTTCTCATGTCCTTCTAATTAAACTGGCTTTTCCTCAAGTACCAGCATTCTGAACACACAAAAACACTTTTGTCTTCAGTACTGGACTTCTGTTTTAATTAATATCTTCACAACAGCATTGTTTTCTAATACTTTGGTTGCAAAAATACAGTGTGTGAATTGTATTGTAGATTAAATTGCAACCTTCTATGTATGACAAATCATGTACTAAATCCCATACTGACTTAAACTTCTGGAATCAAATCAACTTCTAAATTAGAACTTGCCTTTTTCTCTTGCACAGTTTTAAATATTTGTTACAAAAATATTCTTTCTTATAGAAATTTATGAAGGTACAATAGTGCTGCCCTCAACATCACAGTTTAAGCTGTAATATTCCTTCCTATAAAGCATATATTGTAATGACCCCCCAATTTTACAGATGAGGCAACTGAGATTCACAACAGTTTAGTTACTCGCAGCTCGGTAAGTAACAGAGCCTAAGTTCACATTTTGGTTTATCACCCTCTGCATGATTCAGTGCTCTGTATTGGCTGCTACTTACTACCCAGAACTCAAAACAAAGCTGCACATCTTGGACTGAATAGGTCATGTCTGTGTGTCCCCAGATCCACTAGGCTTTGTATCTCTACCATGCTCCTAAAACAATTGTTCAGAGCTTATCACATCTCAGAGGGACAGGAAAAAAGATTGGCAAAAGCTCAAAAAGAGTAATAAATCCTGATGTTTAGTAAATTTAGAGCTATTGTGGAAAACAAAGCTGTATCTAGGTAAGAGAGTCTAGCTGTGCAATTAATAATCAGAACCTACTGAACATTCTAAATAGCTCTCACCTGGCTCTGTCGACACAAAATGTGGGTCATGCATCTGGTCACTTCTGTCACTTAAAGCCTTTCTTTACTACTAACTTGTTCTAATGGCTTTAATACACCTCCACTAACAAGATAACCCCTTACAACAGATGTTTTGTGTTTTGTGGTCTGAAGCACTGTGAAGGCCAAAAAAGAATGAGAGCCCAGATTCAATAGCAGGAATTGGCCCTTTTTCTATTTGCCCACCTGGCTCTTCTCTGGCTGTTGCCACGTGAAGCTAGAGCCCACTGACTCTTTCCACCTACCACATATGGGTTGACTTCATCCTCCTTTCAATAAGACTCAGTGCCTGTGGCCAGCAGGCCCCTTCCCCTCCACTGTACTCACTTCGAATTTACTTTTCCTACATATGAAATAGCTGCTAGAGAGTCAACAATAGTCTTCAGACTCTCTTACAGCTAGCATTCTACACAAAAATTGGGTTTCTATGGTTAAAAGTACAGTGGTACCTCAGTTCACAAACACTTTTGTTTGTGAATAATTTGGTTCACCAACAGAAGTATCTGGCAAAATTTTGTTTTTGTTTGCAAACTCTGCATCAGGTGACAAACAAGGCAGCAGCCATTTTCACACATGAACATCTTTTCCAGAATTGTTAAACAAATTAAGTTCACGAACTGAGTTACCACTGTATTTGTATAACACGTAGAGGCACATATGAGACAAAAACTATTTCCCTGGCCTATTCAAGCTTCCTTTGCTGACAGGTAAGATCATTATAAAGTGAATTAGTTTTTAACAGCATATTCCAATGTTCAGTATCTAATTGCCCAAGTTGAAAGGCTACTGGGGCAATTAGCAATAGTAACTGAGTCTGGTTTGCTAAAGCCTGTGTTATAGCCAGGGAATATGTACTGAGCCCTTCTTTATAGCAGTGACCTCAGAAGTGGTCATTTCTCCTGATGAGATGGTTCTGCATCTCCCCAGATCTGCCTCCCCCACCTCCTTCTCCATCATTGCCATAGCCGTTACCATTTCCTGTATGTTCACTTTGTGTGAGGGCCTAGCAAGTAGATACCATGCTAAATCTTTTATATAAATCATTTGATTTAAATATCAATATAATCCTACGAGGAAGGTATTATTAAGATCTCTTCTTTTTTCTCCCCAGATAAGTTAACTGGGTTTAGAAAAGATATAAATTGCACAAGATCAGGGCAGAGATAGCAGATAGGTAGTAGAGCTAGAGCTAGAATTCCATCCCAGATCTGCTTCCCTCCAAAGTTAGAGCTCTGCCTCTTTAAAGTTGAGGGCCTGTGACATCCTGGAAGTTTTTAATTGTTCATCCATACCATGTGGCTGAAAAGACATCGTTCTTTTCCTTTAAACAATACAGACACACAAGCCAGTTTGTTTCATGTCAAGGTGCATCTAGACCTTAAGTCTAATAAAATAGCCTTCAGTCTAATAAAATAGCCATTTAGAAATCCAGAGGTACTGCTTTGTGAAAATTTCCCTAAGCAATACCAAGATCATTTTTACTATAAAAATTAAAGAGTTAAGATGAAAGCAGACACGATCTTCTACTTGCATCTGGAAGAACCAGAGCTAGGGGGACAGACACACTTACCAGGTGCTCGGTTAACAGCGAGGTTTCGGAAATGGCTGCCTTTGATCATTTCCACAGATAATCGGCCTGTTGTGGCATTGTAGGACAGCCCCACCAATAGCTCTGGCGCCCCTCCATGTGACAACGACTGCGTGGATGAGGCACTATCACTGTGAGAAACTGCAGATGGGCCGAGCGGAGACTCTCCACTCTGGAGGAGAAGAACAACAAAGAATCCATTGGCCTGCACTGCGCTCCTCTTTTAGAGAAAGCCAATACTATGTTTGGCGAAACTGTGACCCAGTCTCAATGACTGCCAAAGATTACTAACAGCGCACTTAGTGTGAATTACAGTGTGCTCGGGGAGTACAGCCCCAGATGAGACCTCCTGCATTATTAGCTGGCGTATTTATTCCAAGAGCTGTCTCCACTCAGTATTTCCTTTCTAAAGATAAAATAAAGATGGTATTACTAGTATAAATCAAGCCTTTCAAGATACATGGAGAGCTAATAATATATTCAATATAGACCCAAATTCCCTGCTGTGTAATTTGTGCCTGAGTGTTTCTATGGAACTCATCCACTCCAAGCCTGAGTTTTGTTTCTGTTCTCTGCACCCTCTTGATGAATGTGGCCATTCAGGAGGTATTCTGTCTCAAATATAAAAGAATGGCCACTAGATATTGACCAGCACATAAAGCATTTGGCTCTCAGCTGTGGTTCTCAAGATTGTTAGGTACAGTATATATCAAATTCTAAATTTGGCCTCGTAAAGAAATGAATTACATTGAAAATAAGCACCTTTCCCCTGTTTGGTGAGAAAATGATGCACGGACTGTGGATCTCAGCAACCCAACAGGCCCTGGATAACCCTAAGAAAGAGCTCAAGCCTTCTGTCAGGTACATTCAGAAGCATACTGCTCCTCAGCACCACCTTTCTCTACCAGGCACATCAGAAGGAGAAGAACAAGGTAGATCAGGGCACTGACTGTCACCAAGGGGCAGGAGTACTATCACCCCAGCTGGAAGGCAGGCCAGCCAGTCTCCCAGACACATTGCCTCCTCTCCCAGAAACAAGAGCATTGGGCTTTGCTCAAACTTTCCTTCTCAATATCTTAAATCATTTACTAAAACTTCTTATTGCTAACCCAATAAGTGAAATCAATAAAAGGAACCCAATATTCTGCACATCTATAGGGAAGCATCTATTTAAACAAATCATAGGCATCTCTGTAAGAGCCCCAGGCTTTTATGGAACACAGTTTGTAAAATGCAGGATGGGGTGGTTTGGACAGGTGTCTTATAGACTCTGTTATCTGGAAGATAAAAATCTACCAATAAAATACTTGCTTCCTTTTGGATGAGGGTCACCCGACCTCTATCCTTCTACACAGGGTTCCATTGTGATGCCTGTAAATTCACCACTTGCCTCTCCTGTCAAATTCTGAGTCTGTATTCATTGTTAGTCCCCACTGCATAGGAGCTGTGGTTAGTAAATCTCTCAATCCACAGTGCATAGCCAAACACAAGCCTGCTCAACAAATAGCTGATGAATGAAAGAATTTATACCTTAAAATTTTCCATTCTGGGTTCATGTGCCCATTCAATATGTGCTCCTAACACAGCACAGAGCCTGCTACAAAATATATATATGGATATGATCATCCCTATTCCTCTACTTTATAGTACAAAGTCTTCTCTCATCTCCTGTGGCTTTTGATTTCCATGTTTTCAGATATACTTTGCTCAAAGTTTGAAAAAAGCAAGGCTGTGAGTAGAGGTGAGACATAATCTGGGTTATGCTTTAACAGGCTCATTCCAGCTCCCATATCAAGGGTAATATGAAGGGAGCAAAGGGAGAAGCAAGGAGGCTACCACTAGAAGGCTCACTGAACAATCCAGTGGAGAGCCAGGTTCTGGTTGTACTTGAAGAATGTATTTGGGAGAATTCAGGGGGGAGTGAAGCATGTTAGTAAATGCCTATAACTCTAGTATTCTTGGAGGCTGGGCCAGGACGATCACAAATTCAAGTCCAGAATGGGCAAAAGCAACTTGGAGAGACCCTGTCTCAAAATAAATGTTAAAAACAAGCTAGCGTTGTGGCTTAGTGTGAAGACCCTGGGTTCACTTCCCAGTACTGTAAAAATAAAATCTGGGGGAAAAAGGGTTTCAGGTGAAAGAGAGAGAAGTCATAGATGACCTCTGAGATTTTTGCCATAGCAACCAAAAGGATGACATTGTTTCTAGGCAAGACAGGGAAGACAGAAGGTAGAACATATTTAGGGAGGCAAAACTCAGAATTTCAAGTCTGAAGATGCATAGACACTATCAGAAATTGAACGGACAGATCTCTCACTACTATTCTCCAGCCTTTCTTTGCTCTTTCTCAAAGATGGCAAGCTCCTCCCAGCCTTCCTGCACCATTCCCCTCTCTGAAATTCTTGGGCTCCACATACCATGCCTCTTTTTCCCTCAGTTGCTTGAGCTCTGTTATATGATCATATAACAGGTTCTCAAAGGAACTTCCCCTACCCCTCTAAACAAACAGCAGCCTTTGTTACTCTCTCTCCTTGCCTGCCTTGGTTTGCTTATTGACTACACTGTAAGCACCCCAAGGGCAGAGGCATCCCATTTAGTTTATTTCTTCATGGGCTTTGCCTCAACAGTTCCTGACAGTAAACATCTTTGAATGAATGACTGACTGCTGGCTATAGCCCATAGTTCTCCTGATATCTTTCCATGGTATTGCAAAAGGGAATCGTCACACAAGCTGACATATAACCCATGATACTAGTGGGCTGCCTCTCTTGGATATATACAAGCTATAGTGCTTTTTCTTGAAACTCTGTAGCAGGTAGAGAATGTGACACGTGGGACAAGCCAGTCCTACAGGTAGAGGCCTCAGAATAGCTGGAGTCCAGGGCTGCTGTTGTAAGCTGCTCTCCTATGCTTGTGAAGAATCTTCCCTCTAAAGTCCCATCTCTGAGATTCACCATAATTCATCCCGAGAGTGGGAGGGGTAGACCACTAAACCACCAGTGAGAAAGCCATCTGCCTCTCTAGGTTGTTCCATGCCCTTTACCATACTACTGCTGTAGTTTTCTAAAATGGATAGGGAATACATCCATCAGTTTATCAGGAAGACAGGCATGAAAGACCCATCGTACCATGAAGTGCAAATCATGGCTTGTAAGGATGAGGAGAGCCAATTGGAAAATTAAATGAAGGTCTCTGAATTCACAAGCTGAATGTACTAAATCAAGGACTGCTAATCCCAGGTCTTTGAACACCACCTCATTAGCAGCACCATTTAACATACTCACACTTACATTACTCCTTGGCTCCAGGACCAGAGTCACCTTCATTTCCCCTTCCGGGTGCAGGTGGCTGAGATAGAAGAGTTTCTCTCCCATCATTCTCTCTCGGGTCATCTTACGGGCAGCATAGAGACGAAAGCGAACAGCACAGGAAGCCACATCTCTGGGCTCCAGCTTGGCAAAAGTTACTTTCTCCTTGAAGACAGGGTTGGGCCCTCTTTGTATGCTTGTCCTGCCCCTCTGTTTCTTACTAGGCAATAGCACGACATGAACGTGCCAGTTGTTGACACCACTTCGATCCTTATCTGGGAGGCCCTGTGCTCTCACAATGGTCACGGTGAGCTTCTGGGTTGCAACTCTATATTCAAACATGACATCTAGGTTGCCGCACTTTGAGATGGGCTCCAAGAGCCTGGAGGGCACCTGCAAAGTGGTCCCATCCTGTTCCTATTTCAGGAAGAGAAAGACATTAGGAATGGAAATGATGATGCCCAATTGCATTTTGGCAAGTTGGTGCCCCTCGGTGCTCCTTCCAAGTCCCGTGCTTTCTGGCTGCCAGCGTGTGACCTTCTGTGGTTAGAAAGGTCTGTTTACTGATTGCTCTCCATCAAACTGTGAATTCTTGGAGGGCACAGTGTCTGACATATGTCAAGCCTTCACAAATGTTTTTGGAATGAATAAATAAAGCTTTTATATTTTCCAAAGTGTTTTCATATAGGCTGGCTCTCCAAAAGCACAATTGCCCACTATCATTGAAACCAACTGAGACATTAAATCTAAAGTGAAGTCAACCATGCAGTTGCCAACAGGTGACTTTTCTTTGAGTCCCCAGGAGAAATAGTGCAGCCTGGGCCTGTTCTCTGCAAGCCAGAACCTCCTACAGACAAAAATCCCAATGGGGTCCTAGGCAGGTGATCTTTTACAATATTTTATTGTATGGAGGAGTAAATGTTTAGAGCTAGCTTCTTAAACTTTGCATGGACCTGATTCATCCAAGGATTCTGACTGTAGGTCTGGGGTGGAACCTGAGATTTCTAAGATGTTAAAAAGAGATACTAGTCTCTGATCACACTTTGAATAACAAGCTTAAGGAGAGTATAACCAACAGCTATTTAGCAAAATGTAACACTGGACCTGGAACCAGAACACTTGGATTGAAATCATACTTCTACCATTAGCAAGCTTTTTTTCCCTGGCTAAATAGCCCAGCCTCTGTATACTAAAGCTAAAAACTGCATATTAATATGCTTACTTGACAGATAATTATTGTGAGGTTTTACTAGACATGAAATACCTGCTTCAAACTAGACTCCATAACTATCTATTTCCACTACTGGTCTGGTGATTCCTATTTCCAAATATGCCACTTTTTATGGACTATCACCCTGGGTCAGCAATTCACTGTAGTGGCTCAGATCTGAGGCTCCCCCTGGGAAAAATGAGCTGAACTGCATTTATTATAATGAGCCACTCACCAACAAATTATAAATAATGTTGACATAATTTTAATTTTCCTCTGAAGGTATGACTCTTGCCTGTAACTAAACTTTGAAATGATTCTTATTGTAAATCAGTTCTTATTTATGCAACTGACATCAGATGTTACTAATTTATAGAGCTCTTCATTTAAAAATGATAATAAAACACCTCGACATGAGTATTCATTGATGAAACTTTCCCACCGAGATCAAGGGAAAGTACAAGGTTCTCTGGAATCAAACATCATTAGGAAAGCCAGGTCTTCCCACTTACCAGTTCTATGCCATTTGGGAAATGATTTAATGCTTTCCATGCACTGTTTTCTTCAACTGAATAGAGATGTTGTGAAAAGTAAACAATTTGATACAGAGTAGACATCCAACAAATGCCCTTTTCTTTTAATGTTCAAATTAACACGCCAAGAAAATTCAGGTTTCTTGTAAAATAAGGGAAGCTTCTTATGATTTTTCCTCTGAGCATGCCATCATATATAAGTGTTTCTATTCAGAGGTTCTTGGTAGCAATGATAAAAGTGGTTGCTATAGAGACTTCTGAATATAACTGACTAGTGTATATATAATATTAGAAGCAGTCTCCAAGGAGTTAGGCCAACCCAAAAATCAAGTCACAGTCTTCTCTCAAACTCCCTAGTCCCTTTTTAAAACCCTCATTTATTTTAGCCTACTCTCAAGCATCTCTATATTGTTCACCTAGACATAAGTAATAACAGCTAACATCTGCTAAACTATTCCTTATGCCAGGTACCATATCAAGTCCTTTATAGACTCTAAAAGCCAGCTCTTAAAACGCTTCAGATTTCCTTGGTCTCACCTCTGGTGCATCTTTCCTTACAGACTTAGTCTGTCTGGACTCTAAGCAGCTTCAGCCTAGCACAACCTAATAAAATCTTATTTCCTACTCATCAAATACAATTCTCACCTGTCACCATTGGCCTGTGATTCCAAGGCTACAAAAGCTACAGAACCCTGCTTGTACCATGTACGTAAATTCCAGAGTTTGCTGGATTAATGTCCCACACAATAAACTTTTCTTCCCTTGGTCAGGCATCATAAACTTAGTTCAGACAGCTTCTTGGACTGTGGTCCCACAAGAAAAAGAAATTACTCATACTCAATGGCGGTCAACACAATGGCATATCCTCACACTGTATCTTCCTTCTTCCCGCCTCATTGCAACATCATTCACTCTTGTTCCTTGGGATTATATTCCCCAACACAGTAGTGAATGAAAGCCTTTGTCTTGGGTTCTTCTATACTTAAGAACCCAACTAAGAAACATCATCTTTTTAAATGTTTACATCAACTTAATGAGGTAGGTCTTTAGATATCTTCATGAATATTTAATATTTTCATGGATAGTTAATATTTTCATAGAGGACAAAACCAAACCTTAGAAAGGATGACTAATGAATCCTATTCTCCCCCACCCCTACTATGGTCACGTGCCAAACTGGGTTACCCAGGATTCACATCCTGGCAGTCTGAGTCTAGAGCCTGCCTTAACGGTATACTTAAAGTTCCAACCCTTACATTGAACTCTAAGGTCTTCAGTTTTCTCCCCAGGACTCTTCACCATAGGTACCCATATGTCTATTGCATGTGTGAGATGAAGAGAAAACAAGCTAGAAGATGGAAGTTGGAAAAGTATCCTGTGAATTTCACATCCTTTTAGAACGGTTCTTAATATTAGTTAACAGTTTCAACTTCAATGCCAAGGTTAAAATATTCTAGTTAATTTATCTATTTATCACTGCAGGGTTCTGGGGAGTCATGGGGAAAGCTCTTCAGTGATTGTCCCAAAAGACTGTGGAAGTCACAGCACCAGCCAAAAGCTGGGCGGGGGTGGGCCCATCCAAGCTGTGACCCATGAGAAATGGCCCTTGCAATCCCTTGCTGGGTTGATTTGGGACAGATGTGTGGAGGTTGGTATTTTTATAGCAATTAATTATTTCAATACACATTACCTATCACCAGGCAACTGAAGGAGCACCTCGTGTGGGTACTGTTAATACCACTAATCCAGCTGACCTTCCTGCTAGGTAAAAATCTCTTTATTCTTATCCCCATTTGGCAGATTTTAATTAACTTCTCAAGGCCAACAAATTAATCAGTGAAAAGCAGAGATGAAAAGTAGGACATCTGTCTCCCTGTGTGCTCAAACTTGCCAGCTACTCTCCCATAGTTTTCCCTGCCAAGCCTCAGGTCTGCAGGAGAAAGTCAATGGCCTTGGCAAGCACTGAGGAGCAGCATTCAGAAATCCATAAGCCTAGCAGGTAGTCCCACCCCATGACTGGTTTTCTTCTGAGACAAAAGAAGTGATTCCTTGAGATCTAATACCCTTGTTTTCTACTTTAAGATGGGCATACTTGCATCAAATTGTCAAGACTTATATAGGTTGAAAGATTTTCTGTCAAATTGAAAAGGCTTTCTGTTTTAGTAAGATAGTGTTGATGTCATTTGTGTGGCCAAAAGTAAACCAACCCACAATTTGTTCCCGATGCCAGATACATGGGGGGAGACAGGGTTCTTAACACAGCTAAGAGGCAAATAAATCAATGCTTAAAAGGCAAGCTAAGCCTGCAGCGCAGCGCAGGCAGTTACAGGAACTGCCTCCGAACTGGGTTTGAAGTTCTGCTGTAGGAGCACCAAATTACAGTTTTTGTCTCAAAATAGATAGGAGGTTGAATGGAGCACACAGAGATGTCTGTATTTTTGGAGTCTGGGAACATTTAGTACCCTCCACACAAGTCTTCTATTAACGCTCTGGGAGGCAGGTAAATGGGAGGTTAGGTAGAGACAGCAATTCCAAGCCTAATGACACAATTATCAAGGAGAGAAAGAGTGTGTCAATAGGCAGGTAAATAGTTGTGTGTTGTTTTAGGGTAAGGAAACAAAAATAATATTTTTAAATGTTATTGTGTGGGATTTGATATGACTCTTAGCAATAAAATGATGGGGAAGCAGACATCTTTCTTTTTTTCTTTTTAACAAAGTCCTGAGGTTAATGGTTTTGGGTGCTTCTACAGGAAGGACTGCTTTTAACAAGCCACAAACCACATATCCGTGTTACCATTTCTGGTCCTTGGCAGGAACACCAATACAGGTGCAGGCACACACACCTCTTCCATGCTCCCTGCACGCCCCACTGTGTCACCACTAAATCTTGGGAACATGATTTCTGCAGCTTTCTTTTGCCTTCCCGTGGCCATCCAGGTCCCAAGAAGAGTTTCATCCTGCTTATTTTCTCAGAATGATACAAATCAAATTCATTCACCCTTCTGTTCCTCTAAAACAAAAGTTTTGCATACTCATTAAAATTAATTTCATATTAGGACTTCTATATATGCACTGTTTAATACATTCCAATGTCATGGAATGGAAGGGATCTATCTAATGAAAAATAACCATAAATGTCTATAGATGAAATGATGCTTACAAATTTCTTATTATGGTACATGGAGAGTAGTAACTGGTGCTCCACTAAAGGGTAGCTACTGCCATCATCCCCTCCAGTCAGATCAAAAGAATTTAGAAGAAGTATCTTTCACCAGAGTTATTCCAAAAAGCTATATCACCAGTTAGAATGTCATTACAGATTAATGCTGTCTCCTAGACCTTCCCCTGATTAAAAGCTAAGGAATACACTAATACCTCAAGACCCTCATCATAGGCTGGGGATGTAGCTCAGTGGTAAAACATTGCCTAGCGTGTGCAAAGGTCTAGGTTCAACTCTCAGCATCACAAAAGTAAAATAAAATGAAACCAAAACATCTTCATCGAATATTACATACAATTTCATTTTAGTTCAATTCTCAATTTTCATTTCAAACAATTATAATTCACGATCTTTGGTAAATAAAATAGACTCACTTAAACAAAACCATGAAGGAAATAAACCACTCTCTCCAAAGAAGTAAAACTTCCTTTGTATAAAAATAAGTCTGTAAGAGTCTATTTTGTCACCATTCTTCTTCATTTTTTTCTATTTTGAAAGAAACTTGTTTATGATTCTTTTATTGACATGCCAAGGGCTTTGGGCATCTAAAAATTTATTTTGAATACAAAATTCTGGGTCTTTATTTTCCAAGGCAATATTTCCTTTCTTGGGAAATTTGGTGGGGGGAGAAAAAGGGAAAGAGAGAGAAGAAGGAGGAAGGGGGAGAGGAAACCAATGAGTACATACTGTTAAAGCAGAAAGTGGAGGGTGAATAACTTACCTCTGGACTCCATACAGAGGAGCTGTCAGTGGCATAGGAATCTTCAAATCCACGAGTGTTAAAAGGTGTCTCCATCTCCAAGCTGCCCTCTGTGGACTGACAACTGAGGCTTTGGACCACACGGGTCTCTTGAGGAGAGGTGCCATGGTACCTGGTATCCCCTCTTTCACATGAGGACTGTGAGGGGGTGGAGATGGGGTGATCTTCGCAAGATAGAATCTCAGAATAATTCAATTGGCTGGTGCCATCCAAATCTAAATTTGCAAAAGCAAACTATTTCAAGTACATTTTTATACCTTTTTACCTAGAAAAACTAAGTAATTTCAATCACAGTGATTAAGACCTCAAAACCAAAACCCACACCAATAACACATGCAGAAACATAATTCCACCCCTATAGTGGACAAATTCAGTCCATATAGTCAAAAAGACCATTAACTCCTTATGTGGGTTATAACTAAATTTAACACTTCCTAATAATATGAGTATAAAGTATGGACATTTATGTTAAAGGGATTTAAAAAAACACATTAGCATTTTGTTGGCACTAATAATTGCTTTAGACCTCAGGGATGGATCTGCAAAGCAAAAATAGTAACCTATTGTGGAGACCACAAGGTGTCCTGAATCCTCTTTCCAGCCTTCACTGTATTGTGCTCTGCTCAAAAGGCTTCAGCAGGTCTCCAACGTAAAAAGTTTCTATTTGATTCATAGAACATTGGAGTTGGTTAAGATGATCTGGGTTTAAATTCTGTCTCTGCCCTAAGACCTTCAACAATATTTAAACTCTCTGAACCTTTATTTATTCATGTAAAAATAAATGCCATCAGATGGTCTTTGTCAACCCATGAAATAATATTTATGTGGCAGCCTACAGGCCATTCCCAGAGATCAGCCTTGCTTACTTGTCTGGCCCAAACTGGCCTGATCCAACTTAGTGAACTCCATTGTGTATTGCTTTCCAATTGCACATCACCTCTGGTCTCCCTGGCTCATGAGAATGGTACTTCTGTATTTTCTGTCTACAGCAGTGCTGAAACCCTCCTCCTGTCCTTTCCTTCCAATCCATCCAAATCCCCAACAACTTCTGAACCATCCCCAACTCCTTTCAAGTTAATGTTTTTCTCTGACTTCAGTGTTATAATCTTTCTCTCTCTGTACCTCTTCCTTCCCATTTATCCCATCCCTCTCCCTCAATGGTGTCCTCAGGTGACAAAGAAAAACTGGTGCAGTCTCGCTAAGCAACAGCCTCTACCCTGCTTTACCCAAAGTGTGGTTAAAATGTCTTTTCTCTTTGACCTGCAATTCCTTCCAGTAGCCTTCATCCTAAGAGATACAGATGGGACCAGTGAATGGGAGGGCAAAGTAGATGTGATAAATACAGCTCTTTTGCAAACACTGCACGATGACACTTGTTTTCCCCGTAAGTCTCAACCTCAGCTGGAATACGAGATCCTTGAAGACATCAGGGCCCAAACATCTACTGCACACTCTTTATCTGCTGATAGGTTCTTGTTAACCCTGATCCTGGGCAGGAAAATAATATTTGAGGCATCCAATTCTGCCAAAACATGCAATGTAGATGACAGTGGTTTATCAGACAGTGCATAAAACACTTACATTAAGAACCCTAACTTTAAAAATATAGCAATCCCTCTGCAGAACAAACAAAAACATTTTCAGGCAGATGAGGCCCTTGGGGCACAATCTCATACTCATGATTTGGAATTTTGCAAGCCACTGAGAAGTTCCCCTATCTACCTTGTTATCCTTAATAATTCAGTTCAGGAACCTACCAGACGGCCATAACACAGGCCCCAGCACTGAGGAGCAGAGCCACCCCCAGCACCAAGGAGGTGAACCTTCTGAGCAGCCATACCACCGCTGCCCATGCCAAAGAGCAAAGTTGCCCCAGTGCCAAGGAGGTGAGCCAGGCGGGCACCAGCAGTGCCCCCCACACTGAAATGAGAAGACACATAAACAAGTCTCAAAACCACACTTCCAGATCACCTAAGACAACCTCAATGGAAAATGAGATGGAACAATCTGATACTCAACGACCTGTATTCCCTGAACTGGCAACAAAAGAGGATCTGGAAAAATTGAAATCAGAAATAACTTCTTACATATCAGTAGAGATTGTCCCCATAGTGTAAGACATGATTAATAAATCTAGAGAGGAAACACATAAAAAAATAGAGGAGCTCAGGAACATGATGGAATCCCAATATAGGAAATGAAGGGAATCCATAAAACACATGCAAGCAGATTACCAGGAAATTAAAAACTCCATTGAACATTTACGCAGCAGAATGAGCCAATGTGAGGATAGAATTTCAGATATGGATGGTAAGATTGCAATTAATGACCAGGAAAAGAAAAATTTCTTTAAAATAGTAAGGGACCATGAGAAATCAATCCAGTCACTGCTAGATGATTCAAAGAAGAAAAACGTAAGATTGATTGAAGTCAATGAAGAAACAGGAGAGAGTGCAGATGATATAAAAAAAAAAAACTGTTCAAAGAAGTGATGCCAGAAAACTTCCCAAGCTGGGGAAAAAACTTGACAAACAGATAAGTGAGGCATGTAGGACTCCAACTAGCCTTGATCAAAAAAAATCTACACATAGGCATATAATAGTTAAGATTCCAGAAACCTAACAGAAGAACAAAATTCTACAAGCAGTGAGAGAAAAGAAACAAATCACATACAAAGGAAAGCCCATCAGAATCATAGCAGACTTCTGAACACAAACCCTCAAGGCAAGAACAGCTTGGAGTGATGTATTTCAAGCCCTAAAGGAAAACAGCCTCCAACCCAACCTCCTACCCTGCAAAACTGTCTTTCAAAATTGATGGAGAAATGAGATACTTTCATGACAGACAGCACCTTAGAGACTTCATGAATACCAAACCAGCACTCCAAAAAATATTAGACGATATCCTAGGAAAAGACAATGAGAATCACAACCCCAGGAAGCCCAGCATAATGAATCCATCTGGCATAACAAGAAATTAAATGTAAAGGGGGAGAATCCAACAAAAAGAAAAAGTGATGACACTGCTATCAGTGTCAATACTTATCAATACTTATCAGTTATAACCATCAATGTTAATGGTCTCAATTCACAAATCAAAAGAAATAGACTGGCAGAATGGGTCAAGAAGCAAGAGTCAACAATATGCTACATACAAGAAACACACTTAATTCAAAAAGAAACTCATAGACTGAAAGTTAAAGGGTAGAAAACAATACTCCAAGTGACAAGAACCTGAAAAACAGCAAGAGTAACTGTCCTCTTTGCAGAACAAGTAGATTTCAAACCAACACTGATTAAGAGAGAAAGAAGGACACTAGATCCTTTAAAGGGAACAATCCAAGAGGAAGAGATGACAATCATGAACATATATGCACCAAACACTAGTGTGCCCCACTATATAAAACAAATACTGACAGACATGAAAAATGAAATAAGCACTAATACAATAGTAGTAGGGGACCACAATACCCCACTGTCAAAAATAGATAGATCAACTAGATAAAAAATAAACAACAAAACACTAGACCTCAATTCAACTCCTGAATAAATGAACTTAACAGATGTTTACAGAGTGTTCCACCCCACAAAATCAGAATGCACATTCTTTTCAGCCGCACATGGGTCATTCTCCAAAATAGACCACATACTCATTCATAGAACATGTTTAAGTAAGTGCAAAGGAATTGAAGTTATCCTCTGTATGTTATCAGATCATAGAGCGATCAAATTGGAGATCCATAGCAAAAGAAACTGCAAGAATTTCATAAACACGTGGAAATTGAACAACACACTTCTAAATAACCAATGGGACACAGAGGAAATTAAAGAAGAAATCATACAGTTTCTACAATTAAATGACAATGCCAATACAACACGTCAGAATCTATGGGACACAATGAAAGCAGTCTTATGAGGGAAATTCATAGCAGGAAAAACTGTATTAGGAAAACAGAGCAAGCCCAATTAAACAACCTGATGCTGAACCTCAAGCTTCTAGAAAAGGAAGAACAGGACAAACCCGAAGCTCATACAAGAGAAGAAATTATAAAGATCAGAGCAGAAATCAATGCAATGGAGACTAAGAAAACAACAAAAAATCAATGAAGCCAAGAGTTGGTTCTTCGAAAGAAACAACAAAATTGACAAACCCTTAGCCAACCTTATCAGAAAAAGGAAAGAAAAGGCCCAAATCCATGCAATTAGGAGTGAAAAGGGTGAAATTACAACAGACCCAGAAGAAATCCAGAGGATCATCAATACCTACTTCAAGAAACTATATGCCAATAAGATGGACAACACAGAAGAAATGGACAGATTCCTAGATTTGTATGAATTACCAAAGTTGAGCGATGAGGACCTATAAATTCTAAACAACCCAACATCAATCAATGAAATTGAAAACATAATTAAAAACTTACCAACTAAGAAAAGCCCTGGTCCTGATGGCTTCACTGCTGAATTCTATAAGACATTCAGAGAGGAACTACTGCCACTACTGTTTAAACTCTTCAATGAAATTGAAAGGGAAACAATACTTTTAAATTCATTCCTGGAAGCAAGCATCACCTTGATCCCCAAAGCAGAGAAAGACTCAACTGAAAAAGAGAACTATAGGCCAATCACATTAATGAATAGAGATGCAAAAATTCTTAATAAAATACAATAAATAATAAAATGCAAATAGAATGCAGAGGATCATCAAGAAGATCATACAACCTGACTAAGTGGGATTCATCCCAGGGATGCAGGGGTGGTTCAATATGCATATCAATAAGTGCAATACACTATATTAACAGAGCCAAGGACAAAAACCATGTGATCATCTCAATAGATGCAGAAAAAACATTTGACAAAATCCAACATTCATTTATTATAAAAACCCTACAAAAAATTGGAATAGACAGTCTACCTCAATCTGATAAAAGCCATGTATGAAAAACCAACAGCCAATATCATATTAAATGGTCAAAAACTAAAATCCTTCACACTAATATCAGGAACAAGACAAGGATGTCCACTATCACCACTCCTGTTCAATATAGTTTTGGAAATATTAGCCACAGCAATTAGACAAAAGAAAGAAATAAAAATAATAAAGATAGGAAATGAAGAAGCTAAATTGTCAGTATGTGCAGATGACATGATACTCTATGTAGAAGACCCCAAGAACTCCACCAAAAGTCTTCTAGACTTAATCACCAAATTCAGTAAAG